ACACTCAATCCATGTCAAGGAAGAGCCAGTGATTGCTGAGGATGAAGACTGTCCAATGTCATTGGTGACAACAGCAAATCACAGTCCAGAATTGGAAGATGACAGAGAAATTGAAGAGGAGCCTTTATCCGAAGATCTGGAATGAACAGAGACTTTAGAAACCTCAAAATGAAGGGACATATCACTGACCTTCACAACCACTCCACAACCATGAATATTTGACAAATTTTTACTGTGACTATTTATTAAGCATGGATAAAGGAGAACAACCCTAAAGGAACTCATTAAGCCAGCCCTTTGGGAATCCAGTTACAAACAGGCAAAGAGCTTGTTGTTGTTTTTTTGTTCTTTCTTTTTTTAAAAAAAGATAAACTGATTTTCTTGAAAAAAACTGTTTATATATAATGGCTTGCCCATTTAAAAATGTGGCTATCAAGGGTTCATGAAATGACTGAATATGAGGATACATGTTCTGTAGAAAGCAAACGGGCCTCATATACTGCCAAAAATAGTGTTAGTTTCATCAATGTGAAAATTCCAGCATACAGTAGTTGTAATAATGTTAGAAACAATTGCTGGTCAAGTTCAACTTGTTGCTATTGTTTTTAATTTGCACAGGAGTAGTATCAGAAATTAGTGTCACTGCTTGTATCTAGCTGAATTTTAAACAACAGAACATTAGTTTTTTATGTTGGTGCCACCAACTGTAAATGACATGAGTTAGTTATAACAAACCACAGTAATTAGACTGTTGCAACCATCTAAAACCTTTTAAGCTTCCAGTCTGTGCTGTTAGTGTTAAGATGTAAAGTGCAATCCTAAGCTAACATTGTCTGTGCAAGCACCATAGAAACATTTGCATATCTGCATATATCTTACAACTGTACTCTTTACCTCCTTGTGATAAAGCTTTGTCTACCTGCAAACACAGTCAAAGGCTACAGCTGCAAACCAAAGCCTACTCTAACAATGGCCAATAGCTCAATGACAGAAGCAGCCACATGCTTTGGTCAGCCTTCTGTAACTTTAATTAGTACAAAGGAACCTTTCCATGAACTACCTGCTGTTTTCTGATGACCTCTGGGATCTTTTCATTTTGCCCTATACCAAGAAACAAATATGGGGGAAAAGTCAATTTTGTCATAGTGTAATCTTCTGAGGCCAAACGTCAAATCTTAAATGCAGTGAAGATTTGCTTTCATTTTAGGACAGAGGTGGGAACAAAGTCTGGGCAGACGTTACGATAGAAAGCAACCAATATGGATCACTGACCAAAACAATTATGTACTTGATGCAAATGCAGATTGCATATTGTTATGTAAAATATGTTTTTTAATTCTGTTCCCTCCCCATTCAGACCGATTCCCCCTTCCCTGTGGTGAATACATGTTGTTAGAAGAAGTCTTGTACGGTCTTAATCTTCGTTGTGTGCTATTTTTTATAGTCTTAAGTTATAATGACAAAAAAGTAGGAACCAAACATAAAAAAGGTCTAGTAAAGCCAAAAATTAATTTCATATTGATTTAAAGTAATCTAGGTGAGTTTTTACACTGAAAGCAAAGATTATAGCAATTGTAGTCCATGGTATTTATTTTCAGTCAAACCAAAGTTACATATAATTCTGCCTCTGTTTATACGGGATACTAACACTAACAATACACTCCCTTTGGAAGACTTGCACAGGCCAAATTGTTGGAATGCTGTTACTTTCCCCTTTCTTTCTTTCTTTTTTTTTGTTTCTTTTGACAATTCCAAAACCCAAAAATACAATGATACATTAATGGTGTAGTTGAAAATAGCATAGTCAGATGTTTGCTTAAACCCTCGACTCTTTATGTGTTGCTTTTCATGTGCTGTGCCAAGTCTTGATAACTTTCCCCCCCAACCAAGGGACCTCATAACCTGATTATGGTTATTGCTTTACAAACAGTTTTTTCCACAGAAGGTGGCTGCTAGAGCTTAACATAGGTACCGGTTCCATGTGATGGACCCGGATCTTGCAAACTAAGCTCATTGTATTCTTTGCTGAAATCAGCAAAGAGACTTTAAGAGAAACACAGTCATCTATCACGCCAAATAAATGGACAAAATGGCTTTCGAAAGGGTTTTCCCACTTACCCAAAAGGCTTTCTGAAAGCTTCTACCTCTGCAAAAGAAAACAAAAAAACACAAAAAGAAATTAGAACAATTATGGCAGATTGCATGAATTGTGAGAACGTCACAGTAACTGCTACTTTTCATTATGTTTGTCTTTGGGTCATGATAACAGAAGGTTGATAGTAATTACATCAAGAGAGATGTACCATGTGAGTGATGGTTATTTTTCAGTCGTCTGGGATCCCTAATGTGGGGATGACCTGAAAGGAACTAATGTTTCTTTCAAGTGCATGTTCAAAAGACTTTGATGGACTGGAAGTAAATGTGATAATTGGACCATCAAGAAGGTGGCCTAAGACTACAATGCTAAAGTATGCATACCTCAGTTACAAACCTTTTTGAAAGGAAGTCTCAGCCACAGAATGCATATACCTGTAGAGTTTTGCATGGGTTTTATATAAATACAATTTAAAAAAATAGCTGCTTGCACATTATACCAGAAAAACCTCCAAAACTGCAATTGCTTTGAAAAAAAAATAGACTTTAGGTTTTTTGGAGTTTTCTGAGATGCTTGGTCTGTATTTTGATAATTGTGCATATTATGTAAAAATGTTGGTGGACCCATAAATGACCAGACTTTTTCTAAGAAAAAAAAACGTTGCTTTAATGCATTTCATGAATTTTTACTCTGATCTCATCGCTTGCTAGGAATAGCAAACCCTGCTTTTCTGCATCTGCTTTGCGTAGCTATTGTAAGGCTTTGAACTAATGTATGTATTTATTGCTTGAACTTCTGTGCATACCTTATAAAGCATAATGTCTGACAATTTAAATGGCTCATGTATTCTTGCTTCTATCATAAGCTGATAATGGAGACTATGATCTTTTGTATACAGCAAATTTTAACTGTAGCACAAACATCTGTTTATGTATTGGTGGAATATACCTGTTTTATTTATCTTTTTTGAGGTAAACTAATTTTTGATACTTTTCATTACTGTGTACTGTGTTCATACCTTGAATTCTCTGACGTTAGAAGTCATGGTTGAGAATTGTAACAGCTGTTGTTCGTTCTGTATTCATGGCTCACACTGCTGAATAAAATAAAGGACCAAACCTAGGATTTGAAAGAAAACTGTCTACCTCTAACACCAGGGAGTTATCAGATTTTATTTTACATAGTTTTAGTCTACAAAGACACAATTGCTTAAACCTAGTGGGCTTAAGGCTTATATTCGATGTGGTTGAATTCATGGCACAGTTGTACTGTTTGAAAATCAATTAAAATTTCATGTGAAGGTTACAAGCATTAGGTAGAATTACCACTAACTGGGTTTTCTTTGGATAACTCAGATACGGGGAAATGATCATCAGCATTCTGTGTCTATAGCTGCTTGACTTCATAAGAATGCATTGCCTTGTGATTCGGGAATCGAAGCACAGCCAGCTAGGAAGGAGAGCAACTGAGCTATACATTAAGAAAGAAACCATGGTGGACTTTGATGTCATTGGTCCAAAATCTGTCTCGAGCTCCCATCGTCTGTCTTACTCAGATTCCTCAAATTGGGCATTCACGTTTTGGAGAATTTGCTTCAGGATTTAGACAACACATTCCAATACTAGGGTACGATTTTGAAAGGTTGCTGTTAAGACTGCTGAAAAAGCACACGCGTCCGCCCTTGTTGTTCAAGAGTTCAAATCGGAATGGGTTTTGTCCATAAAAATCAGGCATATTTAACAAAATAATAATAAAGATGTAAATTTTACTATAGTATTAATGTAAACAGTGTTTTCACTGCTGCTGGATGTAAAAAATGTAAATGAAACCATTTCATTCACTTGCTTAAGTTTCTGGTGTATAAATAAAAAGTCTAATTCTTTTTGACCCATTTATAACCCACAGGGTTTTATTTTTATTTATTTATTTATTTTTCTGGGAAGTTCATTCTTCCACCCTGCAAGCCCGTTCCTATGTGTTTGTGTAGGAATTATATAATGTCTTTGGCATATTTGTTATGGAGGTGATGGGAAGTTGCCCTGAGGGGGTCTGTAAAAGAGATTAAAAGGGAAGTTAGCAGAAACCTATCATCTGCTTTATTAAACACTGCATGAGGCTTTTTAGACTCATGTTTACTTCTTCACTCAGTGCACTCCGAACATACTCTGCATTGCCTGTCACACTGGAAATGCTCACTGCTCAGCTCCTTGAATGCTTTTTAGTTCTTGAAGAAAGACGTATACAATCTGTAGTAGGCAGAGATACCTTTACTACCCCAATTGAAAGGCACACAATGACATCATGTACGTTTTCAACGCACACTGTCTTCTTCAGCCAAAAGAGGTGGAAATCATTTAGTAAACACTTTTTTACTGCCTTTGTTTCAAATCTCGCTTAAGAGCACATCAACCCTCCCTTGAGACCATCTTCAAAACCACCAAAGCAAATGGCTCAAACAAGGTGCAGATCTGAGATACTGTCACTCACCTTTCTTCCCCAACTTGATTTCTTAGCCTGACAAAGAAGCTTGTGTGTTTTGAAAGCTCACATGCATTATTTTGCACTTTTGGGTGGCTCTAATAAATTTAAAGTAAGAGTGATGCATGTTTTGGATTTTGTCATACCGTGCATGTCTGCATGCATGGTTTCTGCGTCCACAGATTCCTGAGGACCTTATCGCACTAGAGCCTGGATCTCATCACACTAGTGCAGGCATGGGCAAACTTCACCCCTCCAGGTGTTTTAAACTGCAACTCCCACAATTCCTAACAACCAGTAGGCTGTTAAGAATTGTGGGACTTGGAAGTCCAAAACACCTGGAGGGGTGAAGTTTGCCCATGCCTACACTAGAGCCTGGGTCCACTTTAAATCTAGTTTCTGACTTGTGCAGAATTCTGGGGCTTGTAGTTTAGAAAGGGCCATTAAACTGCTCAGTTCAACAGGTTCTGGGCTTCACTAAACTACAAGCCCCAGAGTTCTGCAGGAGGCAGAAACTGGATTTAAAGTGGATCCATGTTATAGTGCAGTGGTTCTCAACCTGTGGGTCCCTAGTTGTTTTGATCTTCAACTCCCAGAAATCCTAACAGCTGGTGAACTGGCTGGGATATCTGGGAGCTGTAGGACAAAACACCTGGGGATCCACAGATTGAGAACCATTGCTCTAATGTGATAAGGCATAATCACCCACAGTTTGAAAATATTTTTTAAAAAATCCAAAAATAAACTCTTGATTTTGCCACCTTATAAAAGGAACATCCTTGTATATAATGGAATTTGAACATCCATGAATTTTAGAATCCACAGGGAGTTCTGGCATTAACCCCAGCAGATACCACAGACCTACTGTATCTTGCTGTATTGCCAGCACAGTCTGCCTCTACAATGTACATATCAGTTCATGCATTACATTTTTATGTACACTTAAAATGTTTTAAATGTGAGAAGCAAATGTTTACAAACAGCTGCATTATGTCAGTGTGCTGTATCAGGACACAATGGATGATTTCAGCTTCCCATTGAACAAAAATACTTGGCAACTTTCCTTGGTTGAGTTTCCAAGTAAGGTGTGAATATATGGGTTGTTGACCCAAACTGAAAATGTAAGAAGGCTGTGAGTCTATGCACATAGATGTACACAGTTCCCTACATGAGTGTACATAGCTATGTGACCAACACTGCCACATTAAGTATGTGTTTTCCCAGCATGGCTTGATTTTACTTGATTTTACTTTCACAAGTTTTATATACGAAAGTCCCTGGGTTAAAACTTCCTTATGTTATCCAAAACTTTAAAAAAATGAAAAAAAAAATGGGGACGGAGGCTAGAGTTAAACTTAAAAATGTACCTGTTACAACTTACATACAAATGCAACTTAAGAACGAACCTACAGAACCTATCTTGTTTGTAACAAGGACTGCCTGTATTTGTGCTTTGGAGACATAATTTCTAGGTCATAGGCACTGTTTTATCCTATAACAAAAACTAATTTCTGAAATATATTACTATTATTAATAGTATTAGACCAAGTCCTGCCTTCCTCAGAGCTAATTTTGGCTTATTTTGTTTTGCAAATTTTGTCGCAGGCAAAGACTTTAGGTTGGGAGAAGCGAGCTGCCCAGGGCAATCTAAATTCAAAGCACAAATAGTGAGACTTAGAGTCTTTTCTGCCCCAAGTGAAGGCAAAAGCTCTTAATTAATTTAAATAACTATTGAAAATCAAAATGCTTTTATCTGGGATAGAAACTAGCGAGTGTTTTCTTTGCCTCTTGAGTGAAAAGCACAAAGGCATTGCCACCTTCCGCTACCTTCCTGCATAATGAAGTCCAGTTCATTAGGTTTGTATCCATTGTCTAAGTATGTCACATCCATTCGATGCAAATGCTACTGTAAATGCTACAGCAAATGCTCTGTGCTGTCTTCCAACAAGCATTTCACATACTGCCTTGATTTATTTATGTATGTGTGTGCATGCGCCTTCAAGTTGCCTATTGTCTAATGTTGACCCCATGAATTTCATAGCATTTCCTTAGGCAAGGAATACTCAGAGGTGGTTTTGCCAATTCCTTCTTCTGAAATATAGCCTACAGCACCTGGCATTCATTGATGGTCTTTGATGGATCCAAATATTTACCAGGACTGATTCTGCTTAGCTTCTAAGCTCAAACAGAATCTTGTCCTTTTAGTATGTAAGTTCATTTGGTACACACATGTTTATTTTGGTGCGCTTAGTTTTATCATATACAGTTAGTCCCAGTATCCTCAGATTCTGTATCCATTTAACCATCCACACTTTGAAAATCTCGTTTTTTAAATCCAGAGAGCAACTCTTAATTTTTACTGTTTTATATGAGGGATGCAATTTTATTATGACATTGTATTTAGTGGAACTTGAGTATCCAAAGACTTTGGTATCAATGGTGGGTCCTGGAACCAAACCTCACAGGATAATCAAGGGAGTACTGTATTTTCCTCTAGGAAACTATTGAATCAATCATGTCCATCAAATGTTCTACATTGCAGCATCCAACATATCCAGCTATCATGGAAAAACATGAGGGATCATAGGAGCAGCAGTGTACCAGGTTGGGTGAAGGTTCTGTCCAGTCTCGGAGATTCTTTCGTATGTTGCTAAAATAGGCATTATTTGCCATGGCAACAACACACTATATGTGTTTTTTCGGTCAAATAATGGGAAGCCTTACTGAACAAAATTAAGACAGAGTGCTTGTGTTTAAAGTGAATTAGTCCCAGGCAGATTAAACAAGCAGTCTGTTTAACTAGATGGTAGGATCTGGTTGGTTTCAAAATGTCGCTCAGAAACTCAGAATTTTGTACTTGCAGATAACTGAGTGGGGTTTAAAACTTTGTACATGTGAAAGACAGTCTGAAAAATTGCTTCATTAAAAATTGATACATCATGAAAATTCCTTTTTTTCAAGGTAAGGAAGGAACAACCTTGAGAACAACTCTTCCATGTCTGAAAGTTGTAGTGTTTAGGAGGTAACTTTTCCAAGATCTTAGACAATGTTTTGTTATGCACAAAGAAAGCTTGAGTTATCCAAGGGGCAAAATAAAATGTTTCATTCTTTATGTATGACCAAGATCCTGCTGATACATCTACATATCCGTAGCTATGCATCCCGATGCCACCACCAGAAACCTCACCATGTATACAGCGCAACCCTGTTTCAGTGTTGTTTGAATGAAGGGATGTTAGGAATCCCCATACATCCCCATGTACCCCCTTGCTCTCTGATAATAAAGAAATTGCTATGTAGGAAGAGATTGGTTGTGCTGTTGACAAAGTAGTTTTCCAATGGAGTTTTGATTATTGTGCAGCCATAACAGAATTTTGAATTCCACAATTACCAAAAAAGGTGAGTCATGTTGAAGTATGTCCAACATGACACCATCATAATTCATAACCAAAATGCCAGCCATTACATGCCACACAGAATGCTCTGATAACAAAATTGTATACAGGTCTTTGCAGAAGTGAGTCACGCCAAGTTGAGTGCGACTTACTCTTAAGAAAATGCAGACTATTGTTGAAAGTTATAGAGAATTGCATCCCAACTTCTATAGTGCATGTTATTATTGTAGGTATCAATATCATTGTCATTTATATGAGTTGAATAGCATTCAGAATTCTGATAAGGAAGTCACAATAATGGCATGCCATGGAGTAGACTGTTAAAGCAACCAGCAATCTTCTGCAGATATTTGGGGATCTTTGTGAGCATTCTGCAAATGATATCTTTGCAGTATGTCCAGCTATAAGAAAATAGGATTCTAATCGCCACAACAATTACATTAGTGAGCTGCAATGGTGAAGGTCCAACTTAAGCTTTCATACTTCAGTAACAGAATAGCAGCCATTTTTGAAATCCTCCTATGATCTGCTCATCATCTGCTATGCTGTCTTGGGCTGATGGGAATTATGGGCAGCCTGGCAACATCAAGAAGACAACATATTGCCCACCTCTGTTTTAAAAAGACCTAGCTTCACCATTCTTAATATCTGGAAATCTCACAGCAATTAACTGAGAATAAAGAGGAGTCAGCTTAAATCTTACATCTCTTCCACACCATGGAGAAACTTGTCCATTTCTGATTGGAAAGGTGTTTTGGGATTAGTTAGTTATAATAATTATGAAATCATTTGACAAAAAGTGGCTTCTTGGTTGCAATGCAGAAATCCTGGGGAGTTCATTGGGGCTATAGTATGAAGAAAATTATCTTTCTGCCTCATCACTTTGTGCTTCCTTGTCACAACTTTGTTCTTGTGCCATTTTAAAGTTGATATTTATTTTTTATTGTTCTATATGAATGTGCATTTATACATTATTTGTTATTTCTGAAGTACATTTTTATTTTAAAACATGTAAAAT